ATGAAATTGTGGCAAATATTTATCAAACCACTTATTAATTAATTAAAAATTTTGTACTTTTCATGTTGTATCTCATAGAAGTATTCATCGTCAACTTAATTTCTGTTACGATTAAATACAAAAGTTCATTATTTTTTACTTTGTTTTATTTGTTGTTTATGTTTATTCATTATGTATCGCCTCTATTAATATTGTGACGGCGAAATAAATGTTCTCGTTCCTAATTCAAATAGCATTTACATTTATTAAAAATTTTTTACTTTAAATTTCCCCAAAACTGTGAGCGTCAACTAAAATACCGACGTAACTATATATCTATATATTTTTTACATTATAATAAAATTTATATACATTATAATAAATTTTATAAAAGAAAATTAAATTTCCACATATTTCGAAAACATATCGTACGAAATGAATTCAGCATACATTTCACTGAACAAAATGCAATAAATCGGTAAATTAATTGCATAAGTGACAGGATCTTCCAACTTAATGTGAATTTTCGACCGTACGACGCCATAAACTATTACCTAAACTGAATGAGAAATTACGATTTATACTAAATCAGCAGGTGTCCTAATAGTTTTGGAGCGGGGAGGGGGCATGTATATTAATAAAATAGTATTGTTTATTTCACAATTGTGTTGTATTGTATGTCTCTTGCAATTGCTATATTCTTATTTATGTATTTCATAACAAGGTTTAACGAACGTTTATGGTTACAAGCATTATCGAAAGATTGCAGCACTATTGAATTGCCTCCACTTGTCATTATCGACCATGTTGTAATGTACTTTCGTCTTTGTTAAAATTCGAACATGTCACAAAAGAATGATTCAGTACCGCGCACACACGTGCCATCTTTTTCAATACGCACGATCATTTATTACGCGTCACTGCGTGAAGCCACATTTTTACCATATTCCCGTTTAACGTCCCAGAGTTTTTATTTCTGTAAAAAATGCTCCCATTAAATCACGTTGCCCATTCAACCTGTTCTTACACTCTGTTGGAAATCACAATTCGATTGTACGGGTTAATTATCTGCATGCTTCGAATGTTTAATAATTTGTACGTGTTGTGCCATTGACAAGTAAACGAAGGAGAGCATACGTAAGAAGAACGCTTTTAGTACTTATCTTATTAGGGATGTTCCTGCAGACTGCAATTTCTTATGCAAACAAAACATTGTTTTTCTTTATTTTCGGAAGGCGGACATTTTCGACAACTATTAATACAGTTGACGTTGCTAAGAATCGTTTACAGCCCCATTTAGAGATTTGTTAAAACATATATCTAAAGATTGAACATGTTATTATGCCTGTTGCTTTTAATAAAAAAAACTCATACAAATAATTTATATAATATTAAATATTTAGTTATTAAATAATTTAATATTAAATAAAATATGTAATTACTTTTTAATTAACATTTCGTGGATTATGTATGATTTCGATTACTTTTCACTACTACATCGATATAAAGCACCGATACGTGTAGTGTATGGATGGGGCAATAAATAAATAAAAGTTATATCAATTAAGAAATCGTTTAATTCTCAAAGCAAACTATTCCATTAATAGTTCTTCAACATTGTGAAATATATTAACATTTCGTGAAATTTCCAATTCCGTTTCTCTTAATTTATTTATTTGAGGTCGCATCATTTTACTTTGCCATTAGCGACCACGGTGTATTACATGTGATATATATTTATAAAACTTAATGCATAATATGATATAGCTTAATAATTATAAGCTAACCAAGATTACAAAAGATTAACACTATTATTCTATATGTATATCCTCATATATTGGGTTGGCAATTAAGTAATTGCCGATTTCAGTTATAGATGTCTCTCACTCCCATTTTTATGATATCCGTAAATGTTATATTCTAAAAATTTTATTATTATTATTATTATGCTATTTTTTATTATCCGTGAATGTTAGCAACTGGACAAATTAAATGCAGCGGTCAAGAAAAAGCGACCAGAATTGGTCAATCGTAAAGGTGTCATTTTCCACCAGGATAATGCTAGGCCGCACACGTCTTTGTCCACTCGGCAAAAATTGATGGATATTGGTTGGGAATTGATGTTACACCCACGATATAGCCCTGATCTCGTGCCATCGGATTACCACTTATTTCGATCCCTGGACAACTCCCTTCGTGGTAAAACTTTTAATGATGATGACGCTGTAAAATCTCACTTAACTCAGTTTTTGGCCGAAAAGGATCAGACTTTCTACGAGCGTGGAATTTTCAAGTTGTCAGAGAGATGGCAAAAGGTCATCGAACAAAATGGAAAATACATTACAGGTTAAACTTCATTCTAAGTAAAAAAAATTTTTTATTTCATTGAACAAATCGGCAATTACTTAGTTGCCAACCCAATAGTTTAATATCTTTTAGGTAGTTTGTTATTCGTTCTATATATTTTTTGTCGTTTAGGAATTTTTTTATTTTGTTAGGAAAATTTTCTTTGGTTCTAATATTATTGTAGTTAGGACAGTCCAGTAAGAAGTGTTTTACTCCAATTCCGTATTTCAGACTAATTGGCAGTAAATATTCAGCTGGAACGATTTGAGTGAAAGTTACAGTGAGGAGCAAAAGTGATCGCACACCATTTAAAATGGTATAACTTTTTTAAGACTGGCCTAAATGACTTGACTTTTTTTATAAATGTTAAAGAAACTAGTTCACTATACAATGACTAAAATACGTTTTTTTTTTAAATTTTGCTATTATTTGGTATAAAAAAATCTAAAAAACTCTGAGCCTATAAAGAAAATTTAAGAAATGCGTTTGATACTTCTCGGTAACTTATAAACATGCTAAAAATTTCATTGAAATTTGTTGATCTTGACATAAGCTGTGAATAATTAAAAATCACGAAAATCTCGCAGTATTTCATGAATTTCGACCAGAAAAAGTTAATTTTTACATGTTTCAGTTGGCTGTAGTTTGACTCTGCGACAACCGATTTCAATGAAGTTTTCAACATGTATTATAAGTTATTGTAAAACATCAAACGCATTTTTTAAATTTTCATATAAGTTCAGATAAAAAAGTGGGAAACGAGAGTTTTTTTTTATATGTTTTTTATTCCAAGTAATAGTAAAATTAGAAAAAAAAAGTATTTTAATTATTGTACAGTGAACTCTAACATTTACAACAAAATTTAGGTCATTTAGACCAGTTTTAAAAATGTTATATGCTTTTTAAAAGGTGTGTGGTCACTTTTGCTCCTCACTGTACACTCTCAAATACTAATGGACTCGCATCACTGTTGCATTATCAAAGTCGAATGCAATACTATTGCCGGCACGTGATGCGTGTAATGTAATGACGTTCGATCTATCGGAATGATCGAATAACGCGACAGTCGCGTGCCGGCGATTACGAAAATCACGTAGAATTTTCGTAATGTGGTGTTTTCGGTTTGTTGCGCGTGTAATCGAGTCGAATTCGAATTATCCACGGCATTTCCGATTTCATTGAACGGTTATTTCGATTGTGTAGGAATAATTGTTCGATACAAAATATTCTTTAAATATTCTTTAGCGCTTTCACAATTGCAGGCGCATATGTAACGCCGCGGAAGCGAACGCGTAATAATTCGATTATCGGCAAGCCTCGGAAGTTTCCTTCTAGCAAATAATTACGTAAAAAGTGGTTGACTTACGTGCGCCAGACTCGCGACGGCAAGGCCAAAGGTGAACGCGATGTGCACCACTGTGGGTGGATTGTTGTCGGTCCACGTGATGCAGGAGGCGCAACCGATCAACACCAGGAGGAACGTACCCAGAGCTTCGGCGAACATCATCACCAGAAAATCGACCTTCGTCACCTCGTCGATGCCGACGAAGTCTTTCGCACCTGGTCAGTACAGGAAAGACGGAATCGGTTAGTACGCCATCACTTTACGCTTTATTATGCGCATCATTTTATGCGTTTGCGGCAAAACTGAATAGATGATGTTTAACGAGTTAGCTGTCTTTTTTACGAGTCAAGAAGATCGATGCGCTGTTTAAATTGCAATTTTAATGAAAACTGAAATATATTCATAAATTTTAAGATGTTTTTTGAATATTTCGTGGTCCAGACAATACAAAACGAACAAATAAAAAGATATAAATAATTAATATGAAAAAACTGTATACAGCATGAGCAAATCGTTTTTTTCTTTCGCGTGACACATTTTAGGTGTACTAATTTATAGACTAAGTGGGTTTCAGAATATTAAGGGAAAGAAAATTATGAATTATTTAGTTCCTACATGCAATTGATGTAAAGTGTAGTAACATTATAATAGTATAATGATTATATTTTATACAGTATAGTAAAAGCATTTCTACAATTTGCAAAATATTATTGTATTACTGTCAACTTATTCAAATTATACAGAAAAGACGTAGTTCCTTCATCTTCCAGTTAACAACCATTTTTATTTTGCATAAAAATCCACAGTCTGTTAATGATTATTTATATGAAGAATGCGAATTTTATACATTTGTGACAAATGGTCGAAACACGAAACAGTGAGGCTATTAAAAAAATTTCACAATTTGATTCTATTATTTATAACTCAGTAAAATTATTCGAGAGGAGAATAAATGTTTATGCAGTTCCTGTTTCTTGCAACTAATGCACAACGTTTTTATGTTTCATAAAGATCCGTATCTATTAACATAAAAAATTCAAGATCTGTTCGTTTTGCAATCATTTTTGTTCAATTCTCGTGAAATTTCGTTTAGCTGCTTTTTACGACCCAGCAGGAAATGTTGTGTAATTAGATTTGTTGTTTTTATAGCGGAAACAGATCTGAAGAATATGTGTACGTCGATAAAGTCAAGGATATTTCGATTTTATTTTTCTTGCGAAGAACGTCGAGACGGAATTAATTTTTGTTTTTGAAATGTCATCTGTGTAAATATAAATCTATACATATAAAGAATCCCTGGAAGAAGAGAATGTTATAACGAAATGTTTGCGTTCATATGATTTATATTCCTTGTACTTTTATAATTATTATACGCATACAGTATTGTTCGTACTTGTTTTGTACAGCAGTTATATTAAATTACTATAATTCTTTTCTCGTACTAACTTTCGGAAATTTTCATTCGTTTCTATTTATCAGTCAACCAGAACGTTCAAGACCGTATTGCAAATTTTCAGAATTACTGGTTTCTGAATGGCTGGTCGCGTAGGTATGTTAGTTCAGCTGGAGTTTCTTCAGGTAGTATACGAGCGTATCGTTGTTCCAGTGACTGACATTATGATTGGTGTTATGTAGACCTCCTTCTGCCTTGATATTCTTTTTAATTCTATAGTTAGTAGCGAATACTTCCTGATCTTCATACTTTCATTCCAGATTCGTGTCATCCACATTAACTATAATTATTATTGTTATTACTACACCGCTGACCTTTTTATAAAATAAATTATATACGTATTTATTATAATATTTCTTCTCTTAATAATAGGTAAAAATTGAAAATAATATAACAGCTATCCTTAAATTCTTTTGATGTTTGTAATATTAACATTTCTCTCGTAGTCATTGTTGCAACAAATGCATAAAATGATGGAAAGTAACATGTAGTTCTCGAATGTGGCATTCGAAAGAAAATTTAATTAAAAGCACAAGATAAAACAGCCATTAATCCACAGTGCCAAAGTGTAATGACTCGACTATGTATTCTAATGCGAAATAAAAGTCGTCTGCTTTAATTGCAAGATACAAAAGTTACATAAACGTTTATTTCTTTATTTAAAATGATTTTGTTGAGTTAGAAATAATACAACAGCAATTTAAAATTTTTTCGATGTTTTTACTGTTTTGCATTCGATGCAATCATTTTTGTCATAAATGCATTAAATCCGCAGTTTATTAACGACTATCAACATGTGTAAAGTAGAAATAGAAAAGTTTGTACTGATCATTTCTAATGTATTTTTATTTAGATACAGTTTAATAAGAAATATTTCAAGTAATTATTGATCTGTGTCTTCGAGAAGATGCCCGATACACTTTTCGTTTTAATTTTCGATTAGAAAATGATACATTATATTATGTTAAGTTTTATTTATATTTATAAGTTTCATCTTATATGATGAAAGTTCCCTTGAATTTTGAAATTGTGAACCCTTTTAATTATTTGATATATACAGGGTGTCCCAAAATTATGGTACTTCCGGGAATTGTGGGATTCCTGAGGTCATTTGAAGTAACTTTTTCCTTAGCGAAAATGCAATCCGCGGCTTTGTTTAGAAGTTATTAACGAAAAACGCTGACCAATTAGAGGCGAGCTTGCCTAGCGCTAGGCGGCCGAGCCAATCAGCGGAACACATTCTCGCCGAGGTAGAAGTTACTTCAAATTGCCTCAAAAACTTCTCATTTCCCGGAAGTAGAATAATTTTGGGACACCCTGTATATATATTTCTCCGTTTTAGAAAAAATTCAAACGACTACATAAAATTGTAAAATTAACGATAATACCAATTATTGCTGGCAGGTGAAATAAAGTACGAAGTGTTATAATTTTCAAATTTAACAAAACGGTAACGAGTTTAGTAATTAGAAAATCTATAATAATTAGAAAATCTATAATATAATCCTATAATTAGACAATAGAGATAAGGAACACTTTATCAGTTGAAATCAATGTTAGGGATTATGCCGCTCGTGTTCAGCAGACTGATAACACGTCACGTATGTACGTATATGTTTCAAACGACGTTATGTTTCAAACGCAAGTTCTTGTTAGACGTTATACACGCGTTAATGCGAAATCGTGATAAGGAATGGTAGCCATAGGGAAACAGGAACACTTATAATCGTCGACTTTCATAACAATTGTGCAAATGATTTCCCTGGTTAACTTCACTCCCGGTGAATCGCGTACCGTGAAGCGACAAAAAAATTTTCCTGTGTAATTTATTATCGAACCAGCAGTCTGAAACGGCGACGTCGCCGACATGTGTGTCCCTCTATTGACTTATTGTTAGTTCATTTATGTAGCTATAAAATACCAAAATATGTTTATTTATACTTTTTTGCAAATTCTGATTAAGATTACAAACCCGTTACCATTTCGTTAAGTCTAAAAATTATAACACTTCGTACTTTATTTCACCTGACAGCAATAATTGGCATTATTGTTAATTTAAAAATTAAATAATATATATATATTTCAAATTAACGTACAATATACGAACAAATGAACAAACAATTGAACATATCAATGAACATACAAATGAACATACTAAACATGAAATGTATTTTATATGCTCGTAAGAAATAGTTTTACAACAATGTGCATGTTCAACTAGTACGTTATAATATTAACTTAAAATTATTATTTTGTTATCTA